TATATATATATAATTAGACGAACCTTATGGTTGTACGGTAGTAAAGCATCAGTGCCAACACTGATGTTGCTGTCTTTCATGATGATGAATTTACGGATTATAGACGTGGCCGCCGTCCCTAGAAGGCCCTCACTGGTTGTTTTTGACCATAAATGCCTCCGCAGCAGTTCGCGAGTTTTGTGGGAACACCAGATAAGTAGTACTGAAGTACATCAGACGGGTTCTGGGAAAACTCATTCATTCGTCTTCTGGAAAAGACGTCGCAATTTTTTTTCAAAACTCTGACTACAGGAGACACAGATGAGCTGGGGTTTCGTAAAATGCGGAACCGCTGTAAATCAGAAATCCGCCAGTGGGACATACGAAAACAAGCCACAATTCTGGACCTTGCCTGGAAAAACAGAAATGTGCTGTTCAAATACATGAAACATCGCCGCAGAAACAAGCCATCCGCGTTCTCCCTGAGAGCCAGGAACGGAGAACCTAAGAGTGACCCAACAGTGGTATCTGAGGTTTACAGAGAACACTATGCGTGTCTATACACAGCTCCAGCGTCCTCGTCACATCCAGTCTTGTCAAGGCGTAACTTCGAACAGCCTCTAACCGACATAGTCTTCACGGTCTAGAACATTCATCAACTCTTGCACAAGATCAACCCAATCTGCGCGTTGGGGCCCGACGACGTCCATCCAAGGATCCTGAAGGAAACGTCGTCTGCAGTGGCAAGTCAGTTCTATCTGGTGTTTCGTCAGTCGCTTGATGAAGGCCACCTTCCCTCTGCTTGAAAGGAACCGATTGTCAGGTCAGTCTACAAAACTGGTGACCGACTACCGCCTGGCAGCTACAGGCCTATGAGCCTCACTAGCGTGCCGTGCAACGTAATGGAACACATTCTGAAGCGAGCTATCCTAGATCACCTTACTTCCAACAAATTGATATCTCCAGCTCAACACGGATTCCTTCCCAACCGCTCTCAAGCCAAGGACGAGGGACTTATATCGGTCGCCATATTTTTTAACTTCTCAAAAGCATTTGATCTGGCCCCACACGTCCCGCTGCTCCATAAACTCCACTCAGCGAATGCCTTTGTCATGCATGGTGAAAAAGGACCAGAAAACACCATGAGGCTAGACGCCAAAAAGAATTTGCGTATCTGGGTCTCCTCAAACTTGTCCTTCGCACTACACCATGAGAAACCGACCCAAAAAGCATTCGCCATTTTACGGATGATCCGACGCACTTTCTCCCATGTTACTCTCAAGGAATTCCAAATGCTCTATGGGGTCTACTTCAGACCGCTCCTGGAATACGCCAACCAAGTTGTCTACTCAGGACGCACGAAAGACGTCACCTTCATTGAGCGTGTCCAGCGAGCTGCCACGAAAATAGTTGCCGGCCTAGAGTCCGTGGAGTACGAAACCCGTCTCGCGGTGCTTGACCTATTTCCCATGGAGTACCGTGGCCTCCGAGGGGACTTAATTCTTACTTTTGTCCTGTTTGAACAAAGCTTGGCCAACGGGTCTTTCACCGTTGACCCAACAAACAGACGGCGGGAACATGGTAAGATTTTCAAGCTCAGATAATAGCTGCGTGGAATGATCTTCCTCCGACGGTTGTCCACGGTCCTTCTAGAACCCAGTTCAGAGCACTATTAGATATTTATGCGAGTCCTCGTGCTGACAAGCATCCTGCCATTCGCTGAGAACGCAAAGACCAGTGCTACACCCTTTTTCACTTGTCTTTCAAGTGGACGACAGCCGCTGAACAACACGAACAAAACCGACCCGGAAAACTTGGGTACAAGCCTCGATCCTGTGTATCGATCCGTCTCCCAATAAATCGGCTGGCTGCACTGGTTGGACCATGTGCATCGTATGACAGATGACCGTTTGCCTCTTCTTCCAGCCGTGTCGGGTGGGGACGACCCGAGGGGTCAGTTCATGGCCTAGCAGCGAAGCGTGAAAGCCCTTAACATCAAACTCAGTCGCGGTGGCAAACGCTGTCTTATTAAAAGGGATCGCAGGAGCTCTCGATCGAGAGCCCCCAAATAAATGACGTTCCCTGTATGTTTATATGATTGTGCCCCCCTCCCGCGTTCTGGGTTTTGTCATCCCAACCACACCCTCGATCCTGTGTATCGATCCGTCTCCCAATAAATCGGCTGGCTGCACTGGTTGGACCATGTGCATCGTATGACAGATGACCGTTTGCCTCTTCTTCCAGCCGTGTCGGGTGGGGACGACCTGAGGGGTCAGTTCATGGCCTAGCAGCGAAGCGTGAAAGCCCTTAACATCAAACTCAGTCGCGGTGGCAAACGCTGTCTTATTAAAAGGGATCGCAGCGCAGGAGCTTCGAGAGCCCCCAAATAAATGACGTTCCCTGTATGTTTATATGATTGTGCCCCCCTCCCGCGTTCTGGGTTTTGTCATCCCAACCACACGTGCCCAGGCGCTCAGAGGATAACCTGTTAAACCTGTGATATTGTGCT